GCATGATCGATTATGATATCAACTTTGCACTTTCCAGTCGCTATTTTTGCTCATCTAATTGTGCTAGTTAATAACGTTATAAAAATAAATAGCATGTGGTTTTATTCGACATTTTAAGTACAAATTTATGTCAACTGTAATAATAGGCATTTTGTTCTAAAGCAACAAGTTCATTTTTGATTGATTTTATATAAAGCATACATTGCTGAAGATAGTTCAATACAGTCAAACATCTATTCTATCAACAGAATGGTTCTTGAGATTTGGTTGATAACATACATGTAGATCAGTTGATAACGTAATTTTAACAATAAGTCTACGGACAACGTAAATTCGTATTGGTTCATAACATAGAGTAGTTGACAGCATAGATAGTTGATAGCATAGATATTTAACTGTATATTTATACAATCTATACATGTACTGGAAATTAAAATAGTTTAAAATGTTATTAATTGTAGATTTTATAAAATCTGATAAAACATTTGCTGATTGTCAGAGATGTACGCAATGTTATAGACTATAACTTACAGTTTAGTGCATTCAAAATACAATTGCATTGATTGTAATTCAAATAATGATAAATAACTACCGGCTCTGAACGGCATGTGTAGGGCATGTGAACATTGAAAACGAATATATTAATAGAAATTTACGTTTGTTCGTACATTTATCATGATTTGTACATTAATTATAATCTATTATAATATAATGGTCCATTATTAATGGAGTATAATTATGTATTATAAATGCTAATAATAAATGTTTATAACCAAAAACTATGGGCATTATACCAAAATTTGATGCTAGATAAATTTATAAAGGTAATAAAACTTTCCTTGTGAAGATAATTACAAAAATTAGAATAATTTTGCACATATTTATGAGAAAAGGAAATAAAGTAAAATAACTAATTTTGCATATATTTTGCTTCCGTTTAATAGACGACAATCAATTTATGTGCGATTATTTGAGTTGCAATAAAATCTATAAATCATGGTTTCAATTGCAAAGACATCGATCTCAACATTACAAGGTTCAAAGTAAGGGTATATATTTGTTCTAGTAACATTTTCAAATAGAGATGACCATAAACAATAACTTATACAACAATAATGGGCATTTCTAATATAAACCATAGTATGTGTCTAATAAACCCAAATATCCAACAGATAAGCCATACCTATGCGATTGGAAGGGATGTTCAAATCAGTTTAAGAAATTGAAAAATTTAATTATCCACAGAAGACTTCACACAGGTTTGCGTTAAATATAAAAATATAATTAATTATGAAATTGAGCATGGATGTTTTTATTAAATAATTAGGAGAGCGTCCGTTCAAATGTGATTTCGAGGACTGCAATAAGGGCTTCAGAGCCGCCCATTCATTATCATCTCATAGACGGACACACAATGAAAACTATGAGAAGTTATGCAAATACGAGAAGACCACCGATGAGGAGAACAACTAATATATATTTATATAAATATAAATACCTAGTTATTTTTATATGTTATTTCATTCACAAACACAACAACACATTATAATATAAGCAAAAAAACTTTTTTTATACACTATTTATAAATTAAATTGTTTTTATACTTGAATGACGGATAATGATATGTAAATAAAATAATTAGTTTTTTAAATTAATTTCCCACTTGTTAACACTTTGGTTTTTACATTATTACCTAGAGTAAATTAAGATAATTTAAGTTTTAAAATGAGACATAGTACCAATCAACTGTAATTAATATATTAAATAACATTGTTCCTGTTCAATTTACTATTTGCCATAATTAGTTATTATATTATAATTATAGTTTGTAATACTGACGGGACATTTATACTGTATTATAAGTTAATTGGATTAATTAGTGTTTGTCATAAATATCGGAGATCTCAACGATTTTAAAACAATTTCATGTATTTTTCTAATCATTTACACAACAGATCTCTACACTATA